GTGGATTATCCCTGTTTGTTTTCCCAACTCTAAGCAAAATGGAGGTTGGGGGAAGTGAGAGAGAACTTTGCCTCAGGGAAGGGATTCCAAGTGGTCTCTTCCCTGTAAGAAGAGTTATTTCTTTTTATTTCTTTTTTTTTTATTCAAATTGACACTTGGTGCTGGCAGCAATTTTTTTTCTTGGAGCTCAGGGAAACTGAGACTGGACAAGTTTGTCTATAGGAGTTACAGAGACAGGTTCTTACAGTTTATTTGGCTAGCCAGCCCCCATATCTACACTTGAAGTGCCAGGTTGGGAAACTGAGCTGTGACAAACAGTCTCGTCACTATCTGACCACCAGCTGGGACCCCCAGTTTTAGTATGGGACCACCTAGTGACAGGGCCTTGCACTGAGCCAGGCTTACCACCATAGACCAGGGGTCCCCAACTTTTTTCCTTGCACCCAGCCCATTTGGTCCATGCCCCTGCAGAGCCATGATTGGGAGCCAGGGCCAGGAGTGGAGTTGTTAGCAAAAATGTCATATTTTAGTACTGGTGTAAGAATATATAGCCTCTCCCCGACTTATGAACCAGTTACGGACCAAGCAATTGGTCGTAACTCAGTTTGTTCATACGTCGGACCCCATAGAGTTACCTGCGACCGCGCTGTTCGTAAGTGCAGATCGTGTTCATAACTTGGGGTCCGCCATTTACGACAGCTTCGGTTGTAAATGCGAACGGTCGTAAGTCGACCGTTCGCAACTCGGGGACCGGCTGTAAGGTGATGTACAGTGAGAGCTATATGCGTCTTTCACCGTTTCTCATGATTAGACAATGTCTGCGTTGTAAATTAAGTTGTGTCTTCTAGTAACTACGTGATCCTTTGATGAGTGGAGCAAGAGGCAGAGGGACCCAGAAAACCCCAAAATGTAAAGCAGAAAAAGAAGGGAGGGGGAGGAGAAAAGAAAAAAAATGCTGTTAGCTACATTTTTTTTGTCTTCTCTCCTCCCACTCTCCCCTCTTTTTCTGCTTTAAATTTTTGGGCTTTCTGTGTCCCTCTGGGCCTCCTACTCAATATCTGTTGTCTGAAGATATGGGCTGTGCCCACGAAAGCTCATGGTACCCTCTATGTTTTTTAGTTAGTCTCTAAAGCTATGTCTACACCGCTGGCTTCTGCCAGCAGAGCGTATGCAAATGAAGCTCTAATTAGCATTTTGTTACACTTCATTTGCATAATCTATTCAAGCCATTTTTGTGCAAGGGGATTTTGCACAGAAACAAGCAGTGTGGACGTTTCCTTTTTGCACAAAAAACCTCTCCCAGAGAGGCAGAAGCATCTTGAGCAAAAAGGAAACGTTCACGCTGCTTCTTTTTGCACAAAAACAACTGGACTAGATTATGCAAATGAAGTGTGACAAAATGCTAATCAGTGCTTCATTTGCATACTCTCTGCCAGCAAAATCCGGCAGTGTAGACAAAGCCTTAGGCGCTACAGGACCATTCGGGTTGTTTTAGTTTTTTTCAGTTACAGACTAAGGGCCACCTCGCTGAAACTCAAAAAGACTGGAGAGACATGGAGATGTGAGCACACGAGGCTGAAGGAATTAGCAGAACAGCCCAGTCCTGGAGACAGGCCGACATTCCTCAAGATGAGACCAGAAACAAAAGATAAGGAAGCGTGACTGTAGACATCAAAGGATACACAAGGGAAACACCAAGAATAACATATCAGGGATTGCAGGTAGGGCTGGACTAAGGGGTGGGCGAGCCGGGCAGCTCCCCAGGGCACCAACCGATGGGGGGCTCCTGATGGAGGCTGTAAGGGGCGCACGGCGTCCCTTATAGCTGCCATCAGGCGCCACGCGCCCGGCTCCCGCAGTGCCGGCCTCCCCACCCCTGGCGCCAGCCAGCAGCGCACTTCCACCCACGGCCGCGCC